CCCCCCCCCCCACTGTGCAGGGATAAAAGAGGAGCCAGCACCAAATCATCAGCATGAGTTTGTACAGCTTTATATTCTACTTTCTCACCTCAAGTTGAGTCCTGTCTACTCCAGGGGGCAGTTTTTGACGTCCTCTGTTTGTTACTATCAGTGTTTCGTATGGGAATACCTGGCGAAAAAACATTTCAATATACTTGAAAGATAAAATGTAATATACAAAATGTCTAGACCAGGGCTATCCAACTAGCGGACCTTCTTTGCAGCTATGTCCTTGAGCGGTGCAGGATAAAGCTGTCAATTTGACAGGTCTGACCCATGGATTACACAAGGAGAGTAACTCCCCTTGTCCCCATGGGAGTGACTCTCCCTTTGAGAGTGACGTCAATGACAGTGGGAGTGACCCTCCCTTTGAGAGTGACGTCACTGACAGCCGAGTCCCACTGATTACACGGGGGGCCGTGTAATCAGTGGGACTTGGCTGCCAGTGATGTCTACCCACTCTGCATCAGAATGAACACAGCAGATAGACCGGCTGTCATGGAGCTCCGATGAGATGCTTTCCCAGTGTAATTTACAGGACTGAGCTGTCAATTTAACAGGTCAGACTCGTGGATTACACAAGGAGAGTGACCCCCCCCCTGTGTAATCAGCGGGACTTGGCTGCCAGTGATGTCTACCCACTCTGCATCAGAATAAACAGAGCAGATAGACCGGCTGTCATTGAGCACTGATGAGATGCTTTCCCAGTGTAATCTACAAGACTGAACTGTCAATTTAACAACAATAATTTGTGAATGGAAGCTGCTGCTGCTGCTGTAGTTTTAATTTATAACATCCTTATAAGGTGTAAAAATAAAAAAAATCAATAATATAATTTTACTTCCCTATTTACCCTCCGTCAACCGTATTTAGTTTTAATTCACACTTTCATCCCATTCATTCTTATTTAATTTGTAAGTCAACTTGTTAAATTTTCATTAATTTGTTTTTAAACACTGAATTAAAAAATGCTTTGTACCAGAAACATAATTCTAGTGTCTTTATAAAGGGAAAAAATACAGATAATTCATTTTTATTAACTCTGACGTTTGTAATTAGAATTTTAGTTAACCCTAAAGCTTTATGAACTCCTTCATCCCTTCCCTTAGCTTTTTTTGTATATTTTTGTGGTACTGAATAAAAAACTCAGGCGGGAGGGGGTAGTTGTTCGCAGTTTAGCATTCTTGCCCCTGGGTGCCAGTGGGCCTTATCTCACCACTGCTATGAGGTTTTCTATAGCCTGGATGGGGTGTAACATGCACCCTCCACTCATTTTGTGGATACAAATGTGGCCTTTGGCTACTGATTGAGACCAACGTTTTTTAACCTGTTTCCGTCATGGCAGCTTCTAAAAGTATGCAAAATCTTGAGACACCCCAGTCTAAAAGGTAAATGATGTGTGGCCCACCAAAATCAATACCCCGGCAAAGAAGAACTAAGAGATGACATAGAGTTTCCTCCATTTAAGGTGCCCATACACTCTTTGATTTTCATTCGGAAGTCGAACACGGACGTGGTTTTGAACGATAATCGATCAGTTGATGGGAACCCAATGATTTTAATTACTGTACTCTTGGCCAAATTTCTTCGATCGGTCAGGCTGGAAAACTTTTTTCGAATAGAACAAAAATCGAGGAATTAGTGGTGTTTTCGTACCAAAAAAATCGCAACAAGACCACTGCACATGCGCAAACAAAAATCTGTTCTGTCGATTGACAAAATTCAGTGAGTTGGTAGTGCTAACTAACGACTTTCAAAATCGACATTATTCTATGCATGATGGGGTATTTGAGCGGAAATCAAACGAAGGTTCGATGACAGCACAAAATAAATCGAACGATGATCTACAAGTGTATGGCCAGTGTAGCGCCCTCTAGAATTTCGCTATCCAATTTAGAAATATCTGGACTTTAACCAGTCTAGATACTGATTATTTAGAGCTCTGCATTCTATAGGTGTCCCTGAGTCTGCTGGATTGATTGCTCCTCCTGTTTCTGAGGAAAAGGGAGCCTTGGCATACAGTGAGGGAGGATCCATCCTCAGACTATGACTATGCACCTGACCCTGGCCAATCCCTGATGCAGGATGACTCAGAGGTATGGTTGAGGGCAGGTGATAAAAGGTCTGGGGACACTGTGCAGAACTCTCTCTTCCCCTCCTAGGGCCTCTCCCTGGGAGGTCTGTGTGATGCAGGTGACTGATCTGGGCCTCAGCACATGGCAGGTGCTGAGGGGCCTAGACACCACAGATACTTTACTTGGGCCCATACACGTGGCAGGTGTTGGGTGCCTCGATCTAGAGGATATTACTACATATCTGGCGTGCACCTCAGCATGGCAGATGTTGAAGGCACAGAGATTCCAGATACTTCTGAGAAGAGACCTGATGGAAGCTGGGCTGGAGGTGGAGTCTTCTTGTCGAGGAGTGTCGCAGAGGAGCTGGTGAGAGCTACCGTCTGGACCCTACAAGAGAGATCCCTCACCCTATTCCAGGTGTCTGCTATAGAAGAAGCCAGCGCTTCTTACCTGAGTCCAGAGAAAGCTACCTTTCTCCTATAATTACTGCACCATCCTGGCTGTTTGCAGTATTGTTAAAACCATTGGTCACTCTGAGCGGATCCCGGTGCTATTGACCTTAGCGGTTGCTAGGGGAGGAAGCAGTCCTCTGAAGAATCCGTCAAGGCATCCTACAGATCCTAAACCCTCCTGTTGATCTTTACAAATAAATATCCAAAAGACCCTAAGACTGGAGTTCATTCTGTCCGTGAGTGTCGGTGTGGATCTGAGCAAAGGGGGCCGATGGCTGGAGCAAACAGGTAAGAGAACCTCAATTCATATCCAGCGGCTCCTTCGGGGGTGAGCGCTACACCAGCTTTACATCAGAACCCCCCCATTACATCAGAAGCCCCGATTTAAGCAGACATTTGAAGGCACCCCAGACAATGTTGAGAAAGGTTGATCTAGAGTTAGACTGTAGCAAACTTAAGAAAATGAAGACAGTGATTATGTTATGCTAGGAACACATTGCAGAAAGTGAAATTCATGATTGTTGGTTGTATCAAATGGAAACCAGAAAATGTTTCACCTACTATAACACTTTGTAGGTCACTGGAACAGATATTTATTTCAATATTTAAATCAGATAGGTTGGATTTTGTCTGGTCTTTTCCAGTGATATACACTATATTGCCAAAAGTATTGGGACACCCCTCCAAATCATTGTATTCAGGTGTTCCAATCACCTCCATGGCCACAGGTGTATAAAATAACGCACCTCGGCATGCAGACGCTTCTGCAAACATTTGTGAAAGAATGGGTCGCTCTCAGGAGCTCAGTGACTACAAGCGTGGTACCGTGATAGGTTGCCACCTGTGCAATAAGTCCATCTGTGACATTTCCTTGCTACTAAATATTCCACGGTCACCTGTTAGTGGTATTATAACAAAGTGGAAGCAACTGGGAACAGCAGCAACTCATTCACGTCAGCGCATGCTTAAGCACATAGTGCATATAAGTCGTCAACTGTCTGCAGAGTCAATAGCTACAGACCTCCAAACTTCGTGTGGCCTTCACATTGGCACAACAACAATGCGTAGAGAGCTTCATGGAATGGGTTTCCATGGCCGAGCAGCTGCATCCAAGCCTTACATCACCAAGTGCAATGCAAAGCGTGGGATGCCGTGGTGTAAAGCGCGCCGCCACTGGACTCTAGAGAAGTGGAGAAGTGTTCTCTGGAGTGATGAATCACGCTTCTCTGTCTGGCAATCCGATGGACGTGTCTGGGTTTGGTGGTTGCCAGGAGAAAGGTACTTGCCTGACTGCATTGTGCCAAGTGTAAAGTTTGGTGGAGGGGGGATTATGGTGTGGGGTTGCTTTTCAGGGCTTGGGCTTGGCCCCTTAGTTCCAGTGAAGGGAATTTAAGGCATCAGCATACCAAGACAATTTCATGCTCCCAACTTTGTGGGAACAGTTTGGGGATGGCCCCTTCCTATTCCAACATGACTGCGCTCCAGTGCACAAAGCAAGGTCTATAAAGACATAGATGAGCGAGTTTGGGGTGGAGGAAGTTGACTGGCCGCACAGAGTCCTGACCTCAACCCAATAAAACACCTTTGGGATGAATTAGAGCGGAGACTGCGAGCCCGGCCTTCTCCCCCAACATCAGTACCTGACCTCACAAATGGTCAAACATTCCCATAGACACACTCCTAAATCTTGTGGATGCCTTCCCAAAAGAGTTGAAGCTGTTATAGCGGCAAAGGGTGGGCCAACTCAATATTGAACCCTACAGACTAAGACTAGGATACCGTTAATGTCCATGTGCGTGTAAAGGCCGGTGTCCCAATACTTTTGGTATATACTGCGAATGTGATTAGACATGTAATTCATCATGTTCGGGTACACACCTTTTGCTCCAGCATGCTGGGTAGAGAGTTTCCTCTGTCCATTCTGGACCTTTGTCCTTCTCCATTCTGTGGGATACAAAAATACATCTAGCAGTTGTGATTCCCGGTGCTCACCTCCCAGTCTCTCCTTCTAAACCCTTCTCTGTAGATGCTTACCTGGAATCCTGCAGAGACAGAAAAATCATAAGAGTAAAATTCCTGTCGCCTTTAATTTTTCCACAGTTTTCTCTTTATGCTCGAAGAAAATTAGCAATCAGAGGTACATCAATGTTGTAGGTCAGGAAAGGGATGAACAGCTCCAATTCTCAACAAACATACAGGTCAGGATCTTGTGACAGAAAGGAACCCTCTGCTCATAAAACCATGCTGAATTTGGTTATCTGCAAGTTGGGTCCTCTGTCCACTTTTTATTTTTTCCACAAAAGTTTGTAGCTCCATCATGGCCACAAGGCCAAAACGGAGACCCCATTCTAGTGCTGCTGAAGTCAGGAATTATTGGTTCATTCAACATTTGGAGACTCCACTAGGAAAATTATGATGCCATAACATAACTTTCCAGCCATGGCAGTTAGGGGAGCTGCAAACTCTGGTGTGGTGGTCTTGGCTATGGTGCTTCTGAGAGATATAAAAATCCAGCATATAATTTTTCTTGCCAGTTACATGGAAAACTGTAAGATCCTGGCCTTTGAGGATGGAAGTTGTGCACCTTACCACAATAAGTGAGGTAGATATTTCAAAGCGTATAATCTATATCTGCATTCCCAATAGCAAACAGTCAGTTTTTCATTGCCTGACTTGTATTAGAAAAAACAGCAACGTATGCCTGTTTGTTCAATGGGTAGAAGGACTGAACTCAGGATCCTGTGCCCAAAAGAAGGCCGGCAGAGCACAAGGGACTAATCACTGGTATTGCCTGTGGTCTCTCTGCAGCTGATCTTTCCCCTATCACTGATTTACCATGCCTTGTTCTACACTATGTCTTTGTGTGGAGGTGGCCATCTTGGTAGAGGAAGAACTCATGTTTTCTTTAGAGCCTCCAGTTGGATGAAGGTGTTGCACAGAAGGCATCACATATACAAATGAGTGGATGCCAAATTTGCAGAGGTAAATGCCTGGTGTGGCTAAATAAAATAGCTCAACAAGAATATAAAGGGGGTTATTCACCTAGCTGCCTTCGGCAGCCGAGTGAATAACCCAGCCGAAGTGAAGTGAGTGGACGCTGTTTGGCTATTCACTTCAGTCTTGTATGACTGCTTTCAGCTGTACATCGGCAAAAAACAGCATGTTCGGCTGAGCTGAAGTGCAGAAGGAGTTTGACTCAGCCGATCCAACATCTGGATTGGCTGAGCTAAAGCTACAGCAGCTCACTCGCTGACGTTCGCCCCTATTCTCATAGAGGCCGAACGGCAGTAAGTGAATTGCCGAATAGAAAATAAGTGAAATTAATGGGAAAAAAAGTTGAAAAATGATTCTAAAAATTTAATAAAATAGGAAAATTAAAAAATATATATTTTAAAGAAAAGAAAAAATGTAAACATTTTTTTTAAAAACCCGACGCATGTTGACCTGTCCCCACACAACGAACTCCCACTGCATAATGAAGCATTTGACAGATGCCGGCAAAAGAAAAACAATTGGGCTGAGCTAGCGATGACAACTAGCTCCACCCAACTGTTTCCTATTAGCCGTCACCTGACAGTCTTCTAGCAGGACCCGGCCAATGAATAACAACTGGGCGGAGCCAGCCGTGATGCCCACTTGTTATTATTTAATGACAGATCAGCGTTCCCCAGGTCATTTGGGGACACTGATCTGTCATTACAACTGGGCGGAGCGAGCCATGAAATCAGGGCTGGCTTCACCCAGCTGTCATTTGCGTGGAGATTGGTCGGCTACGGCCGACTTTTCTCCACGCTTTGGCTGTCACTTCAGCTCAGTTGAGCTGAAGCATATGCCTTGGGCTCGGCTGCTGTACAGGCTATAGTGAATCGTTTCGAAGTGCTCCGGCGGCCGAAGTGAAGGATCAGCCGAAGCTACGGCTTGATCATTTAGGTCATTCGTGAATAACCCCCAAAGTCTTTTTGATGCCCTCCCTTTGCCCAAACGAGCTGGCATATCCCCTTTACCACAACCTCTCCTAAGACTATCCACCACACTGGTATTGTTTATTCAACACGCATCCCTGCTCACCTGTGCTCTCTCTCTGTCGGTCAGGAACATGGAACTCTGCAGACAGAAGCTAGAGATAGAGAAAACAATTACTTATCCTGCTTATGGCAAAATCTTACAAGTTTGCTACATGTGAAATGGGTTATCTGCCACATGGACTACATGTAACGTTGAACATTATTGAAGATGTTTATTTTCTTGATTTGGACTCACCCTTGATAAGCTACTGCGTCCATATCCAGAATGTATAGCTGTGAAGAGAGACGGTGAACATCTATAAGCCTGATACAAATGCCATATATCTACAGTTTGTGGTGTGTGATTAACTAGTTATGGTATTGAACTAGGGATGCACAGATACTTTTCGAGTACCAGTGCAGATACTTGGCATTTTCATGAGAACTACCAGGGTTGCAGTGGTTGCAGCTGGGACCTGGTTCTGGCGCTCCACCTCTGTCCTGAAATCGTTAGTCTGCATTGTTTTAGAAAAACTGTCACATGACAATAAACAAAAATGTATCAGTACTCGTACTTGTAAGTACTCGGCAAGTACCAGTACTCGTACTTGCAAAACTGGTATCTGTGCATCCCTTTATTTATATTTATAAAAACAAAATCGTACATTAAAACAGAGATGTACAAATCCCAGGAGCTCCGTGTGCTCCTTACAAATGACAGCGGCCTCCTAATTTTTGAATTTTTCTCTAGTGTAGTCTTGGAGCTCAAAAGTATCGGTACATGTACTCGTACTTGTACCGAGTACTGTACCTGGTATCTGTGCAACCCTAGATTGAACCAGTAGACCATTGATCATGTCATCAAAGCCATATAAACATGAAGTATGACAAAGCTTAGGCTTCCCATACAGGAGCTAATTATGATCCAGGTTGTGTGGTTTTACAGGTGATTGGCTAATTTGGAGATGTGTGGAACCCACTTAAGGTGCCCATACACCTGCCGATTATCGTACGATAATCGCGGGTGATCCTGCGATCGTATGATAATCGGCAGGTGTATGGGCAGCCTGCGACCGCTTCTACTGTAAGTTCGTATGACTTTCCTCATACGAGCACGCTTGGTGGCGTGGTCGGAAGATGAATGCCGCACGGGCCGGTGTGCGCAAGCGCACACTGCCCGCTCAGCACTGCAACCATCGGAAGCCCTCCCCTCAGCGGGGAGGGCTTGCAATGATCGCAAGTACGATCTGCCTGTCCAAGATGGGCAGATTGTACGAAATTTTAATGACCTTACAACCATCGCACAACGAAAGTCGTGCGATGGTTGTAAGGTGTATGGGCAGCTTTAGTTTAAATACCATCTATGTTGTCTTGTTTTTTTGTGTTGTTGGCACACTGATTACCCTTGCCCTCCTTAGATCTAAGAAGAATTAAGTGCTTAAGAGAAAAAATCATGTTAAACTATTTGTTGAACAATTTTTATAAGGTGTGGAACTACGGCTGCCTATAATTACTTTCATTTGCATAATGATGCACCAGCCATATTACTTGATCAAGTCCTTTGTAATCAGGCCACCCTACAACAGACATCCCCCAACACGTAAATAACAAGATTGGGGGGATGTGGAGAACAAACCTCTTTTAAGCTAATGCCAGTCTCATGCAGTGTTTTCCTCATCATCCATCATTCCATGGGTCTAAACTCTGTTTTATTTAAATTGTTTTTTGCAATGATCAGAATAAAACCAAGAGAAGAGTCCTTGCTATGTGTGTTTGAGCAGAAAGAGCTTGTGACAAACCATTTTTGGGGTTGTGCTCTTCAGGAACGGTAGAAAAGATTAAAATCCCATTCCATGACTTTCCTTACCAAGTGCCCTCTACCTCTGAATAATCACTGTAAGGTGGCATTCTTTTTTTAACATGCTGGCTTTTAGACTATAGGGTATTGATTAGATATGCACCAATACCGTTGTTTCGATATCTAGTACGAGTGCCAATAGTTCCAGTATCAGGGTAAGTATCGAGAGTATTTGGGCGAGTACGAGTACTCACACAAATACTCAGTATCCGCACCGACACCGATACTAGTATCGGTATTAGTGCATCCCTATTGTTTATAGACTATGGAATGAGGTTAAATTGTGAAGGGTCAAGGTCTAGTATGCATAGTGTCATGTTGCCACTAGAGAAGGAGGCCACTTGCTATGGATCCTTGTTGTATTGATTACAGTTTGTTAGATTTAGTACTGTAGATGTAGCAATGAGGTAGGTGGGGATGAGAAAAAAAGACTTACGCGTGTAGATTGGTGTCCTGTCAGGCAGGGAGCGGGTTTTTCTTTTTGGAGTGCCGCCCTTCATCATTTCCTCTTTTAGGATGAGTTTTCCTAGATTAGATTGGATCTGTATGTGAAAGATGATAAGTGTAAAGGACATAATACAGAAATGGAGGACAACCTTATAGGGCACTATTTACTTGTGGGCAAGTACCTAGGGCAGCAGCCAAACACATAATCAACCCTTTGTTACTCATTATATTCTGGCTCCATGTTATTATATATGTCTTTATTGCCAAAACCAAGCTGTTAATACCAGTGGCAAGGCTTATTAAACTCTTCTTTGTCATAAAAACTTGCTACTTTCAGGTCCTGCCTGTGAAAACACAACACAAAGTAGGGTACCTATGTTGTGCCTTTCCATCCCTCATCACTAATTATCACCAGGGCCGGATTTACTCTCTCTGCTGCCCCAATGCCAGGTTCCTCAGTGCGCCCCCCCCCCCCTATGCAGGCTGCATACAAATGATCTCTGTGACCTCGCAGAGATCACTTGTACAAAGCAAGCAGCGGCTTCCCCGCTGTACATTTAGCCCTGCTTGCCCAAACCAGAGCTAAATTTAGAAAACAACTACCAGCACAGCGCCCAGGAACTGAATGTACCAGACATCGGGAGATAGGAATTCCACACCCCTGCTGCCCCTCTACTCCCTGCTGCCCTGAGGCCTCGGTTGGCCTTGTGGGAAATCCGGCCCTGCTTATCACCACAGAAATTGTACAGCGTGCTTGCAGATAAGGCTTTATGTCAAGTTGCCGTCTATTACCTTTGCCCAGGAAAGCATAACCCCTAAACATGGGCCTTCTTACACCAATGGTGTAAATGTTAGCACATATATTTTATCTTTACAACAGCCACCTTGTTCAGCTCCCTTATCTGTCGATGACTCAGTTCTTTCACATCTTCACATTCTTCGCTTATCTGCTCTCTGCGCTGGGACTCCTTGCGAGATCGTCTTTCAGACTCTGCAGTGTTAAGAATAATTCTTGGTCACCACCTTGACATAGGGCATGATGCATTAAAGGCATTGTCACTACCACTCTTACCTACAACAGCCAAGGAAGGAGGACATGGCCAATAATCCGTCTCAATTTTGGCTAGCTGGTTCGGATCAGGAGCTTTTGCTGCTGGGAATTTAGAATTTTCAAATATGGGGTCATCAGATAGCCTGTGGGCGAGTGCGGACTCTAGAGGGCAATAAAATAGTATTTTTAGATTGTGTTCACCACTGGACACCAGAACAACATCTGCAACTCAGTAACATAAAGGCGACAGCTGAAGAGGAACCTTATGTGACTGACAAATACAACAGGCCCAAAGTGTCATGGGGTCAAGGAACTACGAGTTATTGCAATATGGCCGCCGTATTTTCACCTTACCTCTCTGTTTGTAGATTGGAGGTTTCTTGTACAGGTTGGGCTCTTTCTGGGAGATTTCTGTAAAGAATGAAAAGACTTAAACTAGGATGCATGCTAAACGACTTACTTAATACCATAGTGGACTGTACTATGGCTAACTGGTAACTCTTGCCTTGTAGCACTGGGAACCCAGGTGAGATTCCTGCCAAAGAAGCTGTCTGCATGGTGTTTTCGTATTTCCTCAGTGTTTACTTGTGTTTCCTCTATTTGCGCCCAGTTTCCTGGTATTCACCCAGGTTTTTACCTAGTGCTCCAAGTTCATAATCTTTCATTGTCTGTAATGTGTGTCCTTTTGTATATGAATCTTGAAGGTACTTTTGCTTGACTCTGCTCTGATACAGAGGCTAATGTGATTGATCCAGTGCTATATGTAAGGAGTATGTTGGTGCCATATACTGTATATAAGTAAACTGTTCATTGTACAAAAGAGAGTGTGATGTTTGGGGCCATTAGCACATATGGTGAGCGCTTAAGGATGCAGTCTACTTGCAATATTTTCTGTTTAAGGGCCTGGTAGCCCACTTTTATTCAAACAAAAGTTCGTACATCCACCTTGGATACCCTTGCGGGGGTTGTTCAGCCTCCATGCAATACTTGCAACATAACACAAGGTTAGCCTCCTGGCTTCCACTTTAAATATGACTACTTCTGACCCACTGGTCCTCTTGTAAGTATTGTCCCACACACTGGCGGCCCCTCAGGCTCACGGCTCTCCCAGTCTTACCAGTTCCCCCAGTCTCCCTGGCTGTGCCTCCAGCACACACACCACCTGACTCCACTTTGATTTCTGGGGGAGTCCTCCTGACCCCTGAACACGGTCTGTTCCTATTTCCCAGCAGCAGCTAATTCCCCTAGCCAGCATCCTTTCCTTAAAGGAGAACTATGGGGTCAGGGCTTTTCCCCATAGTTCTCCTAAGGGTAACGGGAGGACACAAACTTGCGTCCTCCAGGCACCCTAGGCTCAGTATACCGCGAGCTGTAGCTTGTGGTATACTGAGACGCCGCAGCCGGACCGGATCGCGACAATTATGTCTGGATCCACCCAGCTGCGCGAGTGAAAGCTGGCTCCCCCGTCCGTTCCGCCAGTCAGCGCTGGAGGATCGGACAGGGGAGGGGGAATCCAGTCCCTCCCCTGTCACGGCTCTCTGCCGGCACAGGATCGAGAAGTGAACGAGCGCCAGTATGTGTTCGCTCACTTCCCAATCTACTGAGCCGACCTGTCACAGGTCGGCTCAGATTATGAGGCTGAGTGGAAATCACTCTCCTCATAATTCTCCTTTAAGGGCTGTACACACCTGTGCAATCATCGGGTGCTGGTCACTGCTAAAGCCTAGACCCAGGACTGGAGCTGAGGGCCGGTGCTCACCTGGGCGATCTGTGACCGCGCGGCAATCGTGGACAATATCGCGCGGATTTCCGCGCGGTCGCTGAGTTGCCCATCACAGACGATCGCGCTGTGAGTGCCATTATTTTCTAATGGCACCCCAGTCGTACCAGACGGATCGCGTGGTTTCCCGCCGCGATTCCACCCGTGCATCCGAACACTAAAATAGCCGCACGTTGTGTATTGCAAAAAAAAAAAGGTACATGTACCCTTTTTCTGCGGTTTCCGCAGATGTACCCCATGTACCCCAAATCAATGGGGCCGCACGGCAATCGCTGTCTGCAATTGTGCACGACCGCGTGATCCTGGGACGCGCGTCCCGGATCGCTCAGGTCTGCACTGGGCCTGAATCACTTTGAAAACTCCTAGTTGCAGGGTCCCAAGCAGAACCCAGACAGACCCTTGCTATCTGACACCCTAAGCCCCCCTGGCTGAGAGTCCTGGGTGATCACAACACCCAATTCTACAGTGGGATTGCCGCACAATACCACAATAGTAATATGTGCTAACTTAAGGGCCCCATAAATATTGTCTCCGTCTCACTGTGTAGAGGCAGACATTCCAGGTAGACCTTTCTAAGTGAAACTAGAAATTGGCCTGATTGGACTTTTTCAGCCAACTGTTGCTTTTTGTCCCACTGGTGGTGTCTTCCTGAACTACCCGGTTTTTCTATAGACATAAATCTGAAATTTGTTAAGATTCCTGAGATGGGAATATAACATTAGGTGATGAGCTAGAGTGAACATGTGTGGTAAAGGAGAATTATGAGGTGTGTGATTTCCACTCAGCCTCATAATCTGAGCCGACCTGTGACAATGAAACTGTCACTGGTCGGCTCAGTAGATCGGGAAGTGAGCGAACACAAACTGGCGCTCGCTCACTTCTCGATCCTGTGCCGGCAGAGAGCAGTGACAGGGGAGGGGCTGGAACCCCCCCTCCCCTGTCCGATCCTCCAGCGCTGACTGGCGGAACGGACGGGGGAGGGGGCGTGTACAGCTGGCTCTGCCAGGGGAGTGACAGGGGAGGGACTGGAATCCCCCCTCCTCTGTCCGATCCTCCAGCGCTGACTGGCGGAACGGACGGGGGAGGGGGCGTGTGACAGCTGGCTCTGCCTCTAGATAGGCAGAGCCAGCTGTCACTCACGCAGCTGAGTGAATCCAGATATAATTGTCGGGATCTGTTCTGGCTGCGGCGTCTCAGTATACCGCAAGCTGTAGCTCGCTATATACTGAGCTTAGGGTGACGGGAGGACGCTAGTTTGTGTCCTCCTGTTACCCTTAGGAGAACTATGGGGGGAAGGGAGAATCCAGTCACTCCCCTGTCACGGCTCTCTGCAGGGATAGATCGAGAAGTGAGCGAACGCCGGTATGTGTTCGCTCACTTCCCGATCTACTGAGCCGACTTGTGACAGTTTCATTGTCACAGGTCGGCTCAGATTATGAGGCTGAGTGAAAAGCACGCACCTCATAATTCTCCTTTAATAAATATTTTGCCCAGAGTTCTTCTGTAAGTTTTCCTTTAATACCTGTGTCAGGCTTACGTTCATATCTCTGTGAGATTTGCTTTACCTGGGCAGTGGAAGTGCTGCACTCCTGATCTAGGTGAGTTGCTTCCTCCACGGGGACCTGGTAGAGTCGAGCTGCTTACAATAGATTTGTTATCAGCCCATAGTGCTGCGACCTGTTTAAACATCAAATTACATAAGTTCAACCTCCTGAAACGTCAAAACCAGCACTTAGTCTTATGTATCATACTCATTTTCAATCCAATTTCACCCTTCTAATAAATTTTTACATTGTAAGCCTAACTTTCAACTTTGCCCAATGTTTGGGTACTAAAAGGGATGGTGCTTTTCAAGTGTTAGTGCGCTCTGCTCAGATTTTGTCAAACCGGCGTCGGATTTTAGCTCTGCAGCCTAAAATGAAAAAGCATGCTCCTTCAGAGATCTTAAAGTAATGGGAGTATTCCACATTTGCCTTCAGTAGTTTCACATAGGAGTCTATTTATAAAAACAATTTGCTTTCCTGTGAATATCTGTAAAGCTGCGCTCTGTGCAAATATATGCCAAAATAAATTTTCTTTCATTTTTGTTTACATGTGTAATGAATTTCGAATGTTTTCATGTAATATTGCCTTATGGCCACTAGATGGAGCTAAAGGGGCATAGTAAGGCTCATCATCGCCATCTAGTGGCCATAATGTGGTATTTGGTTTAAAAAACATTCAAAAATATATTACCATGTAAATAAACAGCTAAAGAACTTATGTTTTGACACATATCCGCACAATATTCAAGGGGCGAACAGTCCTGTTGATAGTTTATAAATAGACCACTGTAAGCGGGCTGCCACGCATTGTGAGTAAAAAAACATTACTACAATGCAATAATGTGAATGAGCCCTAACTACTATTTACAGAATTGATGATTATGCTGCCATACTTCATGAGATTTGTCTGTACTTACCTCGGGTGATGGAGGTGGTGATATTGACTTAGGAGACAGAGATCGCTGCAAAAGCAGAGAAAAGTCAGCGTCAGCATTGATCAATCTGCTGTTTATATTGTATCATTTTACTTTGTAGTGAGCGGTTACATTTTTGGGTTGAAGATTCAGAAAGGACAAAAGAGTGAATGTATTTCAGTGAGCTGGTTTCCAGAAATCACGTAAGAGCTTTTGAAACAGTTCATAGGTTGGATGAGGACCAGAGGTGAACCTCAGGGGCCAGCTCAAGAAACCATAAAGACCCCTCCCCCCATCAAAAAATGGCGGCGCCTCGGTGGTTACTGGGGTAGTGCATGTGTGTAGTCCGAGGAGGCAATGTCGGTGCCTCGGCGGTTACCGGGCCCTCTTCTTCCTTTCCAGGCCCCATCACGGCTGCGGAGTGTCTCCGTGTTCTCCAGAAGTGTGTATGTGAAATGTGGCTCATAGATCATCAGGTCAGGGCGCTCAATATCCAATATGGCCTTATCACGAGGGAGGGCTGCCAGATCCTTATAACCAATGACGCGACTGTCCATGCGGGCCTGTGTAGAGATCAGGAAATGGGGTTCAAGGCATAGTCCTGCTTTTGCTAAATATTAATAAATGCGCACAAATTAAAAACAAACAACAAAGTGCATTTATTATTTTCATGCATTTTCTCCTGCAAGGCATTGCAAGTGCAATCAGTGGATGGCGTGTGCAATGCTTTGGCTCCTCCAGACTGTTCCTTCCAGCCCCTGTCCATACCAAGGTACAGCCTTTCAGCTAAGGGACGGGAGGAGGTATGAATGGACTACAAGTGCTGTGGCGTCACCACACTTGTACTCCATTAAGAACTGCAAGTCCCTATGCTGCAATGGCAGACGGGACTAGTAATCTCTCCATTCACAGATCCTGTGAATGTGTTTGGCACCACCAACGCAGCTGCGCAGAATAAAAAAAAAAAAGACAGCAGCCTGTGTGGAGCAGAGCCCCACAATTTAGGTAGCCTTTAAAGCTTAATTTCGGGCACAAAAACTTTCTTTTAGATCTACTCCTCAACCGGCAATAGTTGTTGAGGAGTTACCTTTTTAAAAGTGATGATATTATCATGCTGCCAAGGCCGGCCCTTTAATGAGGCAGCCAGAAAGGACTGTCCAAAACACCCAGATCCTTCTCAGGTACTGACTCCCCCCCATTGTACTCCCTCTAAAATCTATGGTACATCCAGGTTTTAGTCCCCCAAGTGCATAACTTTACAATTATCAACAATAAACCTTATTTCTACATAGATGGCCAATCAATCAGAGCATTCAGGTCTACTCCTAAGTTACAGACATCTAGTAAGACAGCGGTCACCAACCTTTTTTGTCAAATAAATATTTTTCCCCGGATCGGGTGGCGTATAGGGCAATGGGGTGTGGGGGGGGGGAGTTGGTGATTAGTGTGCAGCATATAACATAACACAGGGCAGACGGGGAGTCCAGGCCGCTGTGGGTGTTATATAAAGGGAGGACATGCAGGAGATGGCTGCACACACTATCAGGCTCATTACCTTATAACATGTCCCTGTCTGAGTGCAGAGCTCTCAGTCTATCCACTCACCCATCACCCCCCCCCAAGGCCCTGCTCTGTCTCTGCACTGACACGCCGCACTGCCCCGCTCTCTGCACTGACACACCGCACTGCTCCGCTCTCCTCACTGACACACCACACTGCCCCGCTCTTTGCACTCACTGATACGCCACACTGCCCCGCTCTCTGCACTGGCACGCCGCGCTGCTCTGCTCTCCTCACTGACACGCCACACTGCCCCGCTCTCTGTACTGACACACCACGCTGCTCTGCTCTCCTCACTGACACGGCGCGCTGCCCCCGCTCTCCTCACTGAAACGCCGCACTGTTCCGTTCTCCTCACTGACACGCCACACTGCCCCGCTCTCTGCACTGACACGCCTCGCTGCTCTGCTCCCCTCACTGATACGCCACACTGCCCCGCTCTCTGTACTGACACACCACGCTGCTCTGCTCTCCTCACTGACACGGCGCGCTGCCCCGCTCTCCTCACTGACACGCCGCACTGCTCCGCTCTCTGTACTGACACGCCACACTGCCCCGCTTTCTGTACTGACACACCACGCTGCTCTGCTCTCCTCACTGACACGACGCGCTGCCCCGCTCTCTGCACTGACACGCCGCACTGCCCCGCTCTCTGCACTGCTCTCCTCACTGACATGACGCGCTGCCCCGCTCTCTGCACTGCTCTCCTCACTGACATGACGCGCTGCCCCGCTCTCTGCACTGCTCTCCTCACTGACATGACGCGCTGCCCCGCTCTCTGCACTGCTCTCCTCACTGACATGACGCGCTGCCCCGCTCTCTGCACTGCTCTCCTCACTGACATGACGCGCTGCCCCGCTCTCTGCACTGCTCTCCTCACTGACATGACGCGCTGCCCCGCTCTCTGCACTGCTCTCCTCACTGACATGACGCGCTGCCCCGCTCTCTGCACTGCTCTCCTCACTGACATGACGCGCTGCCCCGCTCTCTGCACTGCTCTCCTCACTGACATGACGCGCTGCCCCGCTCTCTGTACTGACACACCACGCTGCTCTGCTCTCCTCACTGACACGCCACACTGCCCCGCTCTCTGCACTGCTCTCCTCACTGACACGCAACACTGCCCAGCTCTCCTCCTCTTCGGCCCTGGATTGGGAGGGGGACTGCCCAGGAGACTGCCGGTGGCTGCGGCCCAGTTGCTAACAGTCCACGGACCAGTAGCAGTCCCCGCCCCGGTGGTTAGCGATCCCTGTAGCAGGTACTTTACTCCACTACATAGCTAAGCTTGGTGTCATCTGCAAACACTGAAATAGAACACTAAATTTTGGGATACACCACTAGCAACCTTACACCATTCAGAGTATGAATCATTGATCACCACTCACTGAATTCGCTCTTTAATCCAGTTTTCTATCCATTTACAGACTGAATTTTCTAAGCCTATAAACCTTACCTCACATATTAGCTGTCTCTGGGGAACCGTGTCAAATGCATTTGCAAAGTCCAAGTATACTATATCCACAGCCACTCCTTTGTCTAGGCTTTTGCTTACTTCCTTATAAAAAGAAAGTAGATTTTTGGCAGCTTCAAAAAAGACATTCTAAGGGGCTTTATATAGCATTTGGAGCTACATTTGAACTTTGATAAAACATACATATTATATTTCAACATTAAAAACAAAACCCAGTCTGTATTAAAAACATAATACAAGTAACAAACCCTCATGGACCCTGTATATGACATCACTGGGATTTGCAGTAAATCACTGCTGTCGGAGTACTGATAGGATTGAACTATGGTCTTAAACTTCCTCAACGCTTTTTGCCTCTTCCAGGCTTCCTCATGGAGGTAGATTTCAGAGACAAATCATGTTGTACCACCAAAGTAAAACATCAAGCATTCCGATGCTGCGAAACATCAAATCCCATCTTCATCAGAGGCAGCCAAGTGAATAACCGAGCCGAAGTGAATGAGCCAAACAATGTTCACTACGGCTCAGTACGGCTGATTTCAGCAGTACATCGGTTGAAATAAGCTGTACTTTGGCTGCACTTCGGTCACCCGAACATGTTCAGCATGTACGGCTGAGCCGAAGTGCAGAAGGTCTTCGACTCAGCCGATCCAACATCTGGATCGGCTGAGCCTAAGCTCAGGTAGCTCCCTCGCTGCCGTTCCCCCCTATTCACATAGGGGCCGAATGGCAGTGAGTGAATAGCCGAATGCTGCCGAGCGCTATTCGGCTCGGCTATTCTGCTTGGTACCTCCGTGGTACCGACCAGAATAGAAAATCAATGAAAAAAGTTTTTTTTTAAAGTTGAAAAAAAAAAAAGATTTAAAAAATGTAAATAAATGTTAAATCTAAAAAAAGAAAAATAAAGATTTTTTTTTAAAATACAAAATTGGGCGCAGCTTGCAGTGACAGCTGGCGCCCCCCAACTGTTTCCTATTGGACGGCAACTGGTAGAGTCTTCTAGCAGGTCCCAGCCAATGAATAACAACTGGGTGGAGCCAGCCGGCTTCGCCCAGTTGCCATTGTTTAATGACAGTTCAACGTCCCCATTTAATTTGGGGACGCTGATCTGTCATTACAACTGGGCGGAGCGGCTGCCTCCGTCTAGCGGTCATTTGCGAGGCGTCGGCTGGCCATTCGCCCCGCTCAGTCAAGCCGAAGCATATGCCTTCGGCAGCCGTACGGGCTATACTGAAAAGCCCGTGCCGCAGCCCTTCGGTTCGACTGAACCGAAGGGCTCCCGCAACCAAAGCTAGCCGAACCATCAGCCTGACGCTACGGCTGATCCTTCGGCTAGCTTTGTGAATAGACCCCCTGGTCTTCAAGTGGTTAATAGAGTCTTCCTGAAAACTTGGAATTACAGAAGACAATCATTCCTTCAAGATTAGAGAGCACAGGGCACAGGGGTCATTTGTGCAGAAGGGTCTGTTGTGATCACAGTTTTCATTGATTTTACAACAGAAGTTCATGTATAATCATGGCAAGCATTAGGCAAATGTTACTTTCTTAATATCTATTATTGTGGGAAGACCAAAGCCAACAGATGACTCACAGTGATGGTAGAGGGGGAGCCCGGTACACTGGGCCCTCTGGAGGAAGTGACACTGCCAGGAGACGTAAGGGGGGTCTGCAAATAGAGAGAACAATACTGATATACATACATACATACATAATTAGACACTAGTTACTAAACACAATGGGATCCATTTATGAAATGCAAATTAAAATGATTATTGTGTCTGTGGCAAGCAGTCATATCCCTGCTGTCATTTTTCTAATGGTACCAATAGTAATTAGAAGGACTTGATCTGGCCTGGAGGATCTGATCTTTTTCTGCCAGAGCCTCTGCAGACTTTGGTGGCCTAGGCTGATTTTGGGATTTTTTGGATTGGTAGCAAGGCCTCGTTTTTTTGCTGATTGCCGATGTTTCCCTGTGGTAAGCCTGAAGGAGCCTCAAGAACCTTCCCCTGTACGGCTCAGTCACCGAGCACTGATTTTTAGAGGCAGAGGACAGAGATGGGACAAGGTCCTTTAGCACCCAAGGCGAAAAGGCCAATGTACGCCCCTCACCCATAAGCTGTGAACTACATCAGCACCACAGGTTGCAGGTCCTGTCCATTTTGGGTACCCCTCCTGATGAAGCTTCCAAGGATGTAACCTTTCCTGCCTACCCATTGACAGGGCCCTGGCCAATGGGACTGTCACATGTGTCCCATACCTAGAAGTAATGGGTTTTCAGGGGGCAGGGGCAGCAGGGTATTGCGAACAAGTTAAGTTGGTGCCCCATATGAAGTTGTCTGCATTCCCCTGCTGCCCCAGCCCCCCAAAAAAAACCTATGGTGCCTGCTACTAGAATAGAGCATTACAAGGTATTTTAACATGGATCCTGACCCTAACAACATTCTACCCCACTCTAACACTACCCCCTACCCTACATTTAAAGAAGAATTCTGGGCAAATTACAAATTAACCCTTGCAGTGGGGCTACCCCTGCACTGCAAGGGCTAAGTTCTCATTTTGGTCTAGGGTCTATAATAAAAAAAGATATACTCACCCGATCTTCAATCCGGCCTTGTTGTTAGACCGGTCCTCTTAGCCTCTTCTTCCCCAGAAGTGGTCTAAGCCCCACTGACGTCCTCACGTTTGATACAAGTTAATTGACTTGCATTGGACCTGAGGATGCCAAGGGACATACCACATATCTTTGTGGAGGGGGGAAGAGAGGCTGTGGGAACAGGTCAAGCAGCCAGGCCCCACTGCAAGGGTTAATTTGTAATTTGACCAGAGTTCTTCTTTAAAATAAGGCTTAACTAATCCCTAAAATATAAAATAGCACGTGCCCCAGGTTAGTAAACTAAACTGTAACCCTTACCCTAGCCCAAAACCCTTAACCCTAATCTTAATGTAACTCCTGATACTTGCCTGCTCTTGTCTCATAAGGCACCAAAATCCTCGGCATGAACTTGGTCTCCTGCCCCGGGATCCACCTGTACCCAGATGTCACCATGAAAAAACACTTATTTAAACAAGTGGTAAATTCATGGAGCATGACACATAGGGGTCTATTTCTAAACAATTCATAAGTCATTTGTCCTGTGAATTTCTGTGAACGTTCGTTCTGTATAAATAGAAGCAAAACTGAACATTCTCTGTATATTTTCTTTCCAGGTAGAATGTAATGTAATACTGCCTGATGGCCACTAGATGGAGTGGAGGAGCATAAGAAAAGGGTATTTATTTCCAATGCTTTCCTTTGTGCCATCTAGTGGCCATAATGTGGTATTACATTACATTTGACTTGAAAAGAAAATATACTAAGAATGTTAGGGGTCTATTCACGAAGCTGCCGAAGGATCTGGCTGCAGCTTCAGCCGATCCTTCGGGTAGCTTCGGCCCCAGGACCCCAGTGTTCGGCTCACTTCACTTCAGATCGGTCATAGACCCCTTAGTTTTTGACTCAATTTGCACAGAAATATACGGAGATGAGCACGGCAAAAGGCTCTGCAAATTGTTTATAAACGGAACCTATGAACTGTCAGTGTTGGTACACTACCCTCCCCATTCCACCTTTCCTGTACCTCACCTTTGGAACCTTTTCCATTCAGCTTTTGTGTGCCAATGTCCTGTGTGTATACCGGAGATCTACAAAAGAAACATAAGGGATAAGTTTAACAAATATATTTTGTTTACTGCTAATATGGTGTATGGCTGGTCATAGATGACAAGGTAGCTACCCAAGAATGATGAACAGGAAGACAACTGTCTAGTCTTGAGCAAGCCATTGGTGTACCTGGTTCTGCCACGGATCCCAACTGTCACTGACAATGGTGCATTCTTGATACAATGATTCTGAAAGTGACACTACACTCAGGAGTTAAATCTGAAAAATACATTCCAGGACCTTAACTATGAACAAAAATGTATCTTATTTGTGTATCACTCGGCTGTAGATCCTCAAATCATCTCTGAATTGATGCCGACACTGTCCTTCCTTCTGGAGGGGGGCTACTTTTGTTCCCCATGGTCCCTGTGTGTGTTGTAAAGTATGTGCATTGCCTGTCCCTTGCGCGCCCTGTAGAGGTGCCGGAAGCCAGAATGTGATTTCATTCTGGTCCAGCACCTCTACAGGACACTTGAGGGAGCTGCAAGCTATACATGTATGGATGAAGCTCCATCTTGGCCAAAGCTCCAGCGCACCGCACCTCAAGCTGACACTCGGTGCCAGGCAGCATATTCTGAATGTCTGCTCAGAGAACTGACAGTGCTGCACTAGGGGGACGCTGAGGAGCCTCTCACCTAGAAAAGTGGAATGCACGCGGCGACCGACTGAAAACTTTTGGGTCACGACCCACCAGTTGAGAACCAAGGGTTTAAAACATCCCCATAGCACAACACCTGCATGAAAAGCCTGCAATGGCAGCAGCCATTTCCCAACTCGTATGCTGCATACCTTCTCTAGTGCAATTATTTTATAGCAGTTTCACTGCTATACAACGAGTATTGGGCACATGAGTCAGAATCTTCTATGGCAGTCTAATCATTGTGTTGGGCTTTATGATTTCATCCCTATAAAGACCAAGAACACTAATTACATCTTAGCTGTTCTGTCACCGCAGTCTAATTTCTATGCATTTCTTTGATCCTTCCCAGCTGTCAAACCCACTTGCTGTCTAAACACACCATTATGTTGCCAGGCTGAGGGTATATTAGTGGCACTTTTCTGCCAGGCCCCTGATGTGTCACAGCTGCAAAACAGTCTTTGCTTCCTAACCACCGAAATGGCTGGAGGGAAACGGGATAAGGCAAGGTCCCTCAGAAGACCTTATTCATATTTGCTAAGGCTGAACAACCAACTCACCGATGTCAGACGAAGCAAGAGCTGTGTCTGTTGGGGAGAGCTCACATAGAGTGATAACATCAAATCCTTCAGACATTGTCACCTTTTTCTTTTATTTATGAACAGGTTTGATAAGGGATTGGAAAAATGTGTAGGCAAACAAGACACCCCCATTATCAAAAAGCTCCCACTGCCAACATGGCTCATAGAATGAGCAATGATCTGCAGCAATTTAAAGTTGACCTTCACCCATAAAAATAGCATTCTCTCCCCCTGTAAAATTTTATTTTATTTTCATTGCATTCAATGAATCCTGAATCCTTGTCTAGACAAGGATGATGTATCCTGCCACCCGTAGCCTCCTGGTAAGTCTACATTACACATCCCAAGGGGCAGTTTGTGAGATGTCATCATGGGCATATACTCCGCAGGTCTCAGAACCAGGTTTCTGGCAAAATTAAAAACTGGCAGAGACTCACTGCGTGTGTGTGCATGGGCAGGGGGGATCCGTTGCATGTTCTATAGACCTGGCAGAAACCAGCGGCATGTCTGCGTATGCGCGGGAGATCCAGTTTGAGTTTTTGTCAGCTCAAGCCAGATCTCATCGAGCGGTGGAAGAACTTCACTTGCAAAGAAGGCAATGCTGGACTCCATGGGCTAGTTTTTTTCTCCAGATTTTACTTGTTCTTTTATTGCAGTTGACACTTCAAATATCCCTCTAAAAGCTTTCAAGTTGTGTTGAAGTGCTGCTGTTCCAGGCTAGGAGAGGACATTTTGATGATATTGCAGTAATCTTAGCAGATGTGCATATATTGACAATCTCCAGTCAGTTCTCTGCAGGACCAAAATAATGAACAGAACAATGCCAGCTGTAGAGTATAGAAAGTAGGACAGTGCTGCTACCTGTAGAATAAGTCAAGCAGTACGGGAGTCATCTGTCTTTTCTGAATGAGTGTTATACAGTTTACGGAGACTGGAATCCAGCAAGAAGTCCACAGACCTGTCTATTGGTGTGATGATAACTGGAATCGTAGAAGACCTATTGCAGTAGTGGCCCACTTTCGTGCTGGGAGAGGCCATCGGATGACACGTCCCATTATATAAGGTGAAGCAGCACATATTTGGTTGATGGTAAATCCTGGAATGGCCACCGATGCAAGAGCTTGCCAGACAAATGTATCTATCACTGGCACTGTGACATCCTTGGTTCTTCCTCGGCTGCCTTTGTTCAGCTCTGCCGCTTTATCTGCGGTAACGTAGGCTGTGGAGACACCATAGGTAGACCAAACTAATGCTTTAGGCACCAGGGCACGAAATGATTCCCCAACTTCATTAGCAATACCCAGGTACTTAACCCACGTGTCCCTGTAGAGGTCTGGCGAAGAGTCAGTACTCGGGCTAGTTTGGACAGACGGATAGACAGAAAAGGTTAAGAGTGTTGTCCAAGACAGGAGAACTGTTGCATTCAGTTTTGGGTTGCAAAGGCTGGCCTGGGGTTCAGTACTATCCATTAAGAGGCATTGGTTATCACTTATATGAGCAATTACCCATCAGGCCTGCCCTTGGAAACCAGCTTATAATTTTGATTTTGGTTACAAACTTCTTTGGATTTGGTGATGCCACTTGTAGGACTGAGGGAATAGGGTAACATTAGGTCTGCCACCTGGAGGTCTTATGATTGGATGGTGCTTTCACACCCACTTTTCTGTTATTGGTAGTCATTGTGATGGTGAATTGAGGATATTTAATGCTTGGAAAAGGGTCACCATTGACCTGAAAACTCATTAGTTCATCAGAGAGTGCTGTTTTGTCAAACTGTTCATGTTTGAAGTCCTCAATATACAGGTGAAACTCGAATAATTAGAATATCATGCAAAAGTAATGGCAGTAATTGCTGCAAAAGGTGCCCAAACCAAGTACTGAGTACATATGCATGCTTGTACTTTTCAGAGGTCCGATATTGTTCTATGTACAATCCTTGTTTTATTGATTGCATGTAATATTCTATTTTTTTGAGATTGTGGATTTGGGGTTCTTGGGGTTTTCATGAGCTGTAAGCCATAATCATCACAATGATGACAAATCACTGCTTGAACTATCTTGCTTTGCATGTAATGAGTCTATCTCATATATTAGTTTCACCTTTTAAGTTGCATTAGTGAAATAAATGAACTTTGCACAATATTCTAATTATTCGAGTTTCACCTGTAGAGCATTAAAGAAGAAACTTTATGAAGACGGGAATTTGACGTTCCGTGTGCCAATTCTCATAGTTGCTGGACTGTTTTGCTCTGGAGATGCCTGGTGGGCTGAAATTGCATAGGGCATTACCTCATGGCCATTCCTGTCATGAGGTAAGGTGAGACTCTTCACTGTGGCTGTGTCCTCTAGGGAGGTTCTTACCTCACCCTATTAATGCTGATAAAATAGTGCAGGAACGGGTAATCTGAATCCCTACTGCTGCCTCAAATGTCTATGGAAGTAGATCATATGACTGCTTTTATCAAAGTTTGGGTCTCAGTACTTGGGTGGGACTTTGCAGTTGCAATTAAAAAATAATCAAATAAAAAATATCACAGCATTTGTTATAATAATAATATTAATAATAATGTTCCAGTGATTGTTTTCTATCAGTGTGCAGTCATTGTATAATTGTTAATATTTGTCTTCAAGTTCTTTTCAGACACCATTGCTTGAACCTTTTAGACTTATCGAGTAATATGAGTTACAAAATCAGGTAAAGACCTGGCTTCCCAATGCTCAGATCAGAAAGCCAAACCTACGTAGACAAGGTCAGGTACTAGGGAGGTTTTATGGCTAGGAATACAATGACTTTGAACATACTGCTATGCAGTTCTTACCAGTCTGTGCGTTTCTCCGCATCACGTGACTCCCTCGGTTCTGCTCCGGCTCTGAAGGAAGAAAAAAAAAAAATCAGAACATTAATAAATAATCCAAATAATAAAGTGACCCTTTCATATTCTAAATGCTGGCTATGCTCTGCCACTTTCTATCACAAAGCCCCACCCTGATATTTGATAGTCCAATGAAGGAGCCACCACTGGCCCCTGAGGTTCTGAAACTGGACTGTATGACTTAGTGGTAGTAGGGAATAGGGCTTAGTGTCTGTGTGGAGAGAAGTCAATATGTATATGACATGGGCCTGGAATTCAGGGCTCTACTGGACCATAATTTGCTTTGAGGAATATCACAGGTACTTGCAAACACCACAAGGAGCAACACCATGCCAAAAACCTGAGAAAAGCCAGCACCATGCTTATATTCCATCGTTACCACCCTTGCACCATGTTTGCAACACTACAGGTCCTCTTTCTATGCAGTTTGAAAATGAAAAGTGACAGCTGCTCTTTCTGACTTTTTTACTGCCACAGGCTCTGATGCTTTCATCCAAATGCTGCCATCACTATCTAGTGAGACACTGACTTAGAACAAGTATACAGGACAGGAATTCAGACTTTTCAGATTTCATTGGCTGCATTCATTTTACCTGGTCTGTGGCCCACTAGGTAATAAAGACAGAATGCATATGACAGCCCTGGAGGGGGTGACACCAAAAGAAGTCAGTCGTTTTGCTGTCACCCCTGCAATGGTGTCACCCGGGTGTGGGCCGCACCCCCCTTGTGACGCCACTGTCTGGCACCAAGCCGTCAGCAGCAGATCCTTTATTGGAAGTTGTGAGGTGAGGTCTCCATGGATCGGACTTGTTTTTTCCAGCACATCCCACACATGCCCCATTGGATGGAGATCTGGAGAATTTGGAGGCCAAGTCATCACCTCAAACTCGTTTTTGTGTCCCTCAGACTAATCTGGAACCATTTTTGCAGTGTGGCAGGGTGCATTATCCTGCTGAAAAGCGGCCACCGTCATCAGGGAATACTGTTTCCATGAAGTGGTGTACTTGGTCAGTAACAATGTTTAGGTCGGTGGTACGTGTCAAAGTAACATCCACACGAATGGCATGACCTAGGGTTTCCCAGCAGAACATTGCCCAAAGCATATCGCTGCTGGCTTGGCAACCTGTCAGGCCCCGTTCACAGATAGCGAATTGTCGCCCGATTTCCGCCGCGATATCGCGCATTTTTGCCGCGCGATATCGCGAGAAGTCGCCGGCCAATGTTATTCAATGGAGCTGTCTTAACTCCATGTCGCGCGTCGCGGTCGCGCGTCGCTTCTACCGGACCCTTTTTTCGGCGGATTTTGCGCGATTTTCCTTTTTTTCTATGGAGCCCGACGGGGAAGGTCGCGCTACCGTCGCTGGATCGTCGCTGGAACGCCCCCCGAAAGTCGCGCTATCCCGGCCGTGCGGATCCGCTGCAAAAGGTATGTCGCTAGGTGTGAATGGGGTCTCAGTGGTCATAATGTTATGGCTGATCGGGGTCTATACTCCAAAGTTTAATTCAGACAGGGTCAGGAGTACACAATAGTACTTCTAAATGTTATATTGAACTTTAAATAAAATCTAATTTTGCTAAAAGGAATATGTTGCCTATTATATTAAGGTAACAAACAAATATTCGTTGCGAATACCACAGAAAACCATATACAGATATTATTACTAAAGCTGAATCTTCTAGACCCGAATGCCATTCGAGAGCTCCTGAATGCCATTCAGGTCTGGGAGCCTCAGCTTTAGTAATATATGTATATGGCTCACCACGATCGCTAAAATAAGTGAAAATTCCCTTGCAGACTGAGCATGCTCTAAATCCTTGGTTCTCAACTTGTGGGTCGTGACCCAAAAGTGGGTTGCGACCCCATTTTCAGTGGGTGGCCGCGTGCTTTCCACTTTTCTATGTGAGAGGCTCCTCCCCCCAGCGTAGCAATATCAGTTCTTGTGCTGAGCAGCCATTCATAATATGTTGCCCGGTGCCAAGTGTCAGCTTGAGGTGGGGTGGGGTGGGCTGGAGCTATGGCTGCGAAGGAGCTTCATCCATACATGCATTGCTTATACAGCTCCCTCATGTGACCTGTAGAGGTGTCTGGACCAGAGTGACGTCACATTCTGGCTCCTAGCACCTCTACAGGGCGCACAAGGCAGTTTTACAAGCAATGCATGTATGGATGGAGCTCCATCAGAGCACAGCAGCCCAGCACTGGACCCCAAGCTGAGGATCGCCCGCACCAGAACGCACGATACCGCAATGCCTTGCATTCCAGTGCAGTGCGACTTGGGTCTTAATGTCCAAGGACAAATGTGGGTCCTGAGGTTACACAGGTTGAGAACCAAGGCTCTAAATGAACCCCAGAATCTTCGGGCAATCTCCCCCAGCGGGTATGGAGGGTTTTAGAAATATGCGCAGTAGCAATAGATGTACTGACGTTAGGGGTCTGCTTTAGGTCAAATGACAATAACCAACAGGAGCTTTGAAAACATCTAATGTTATAACATGGAACATAATAAAGTTAGGGAACTCTGATGTAAAGCATTGGGTTTAGAATGTCTGAACTTGCATGTTATAGAACAATTCTCATTTCCCGACAATGCCTTTGTATTTTTCTGCTTTTCGTTAATAACAGGCTAATAGCTCCTCACATGATTACTTCAAACAAAATGCTTGTGATCATATCTGAGCATATATGTACAGAAACATATTAGTAATTGCCATTTCCCTTCACTGATAGATAGGCTTCCGCATAACAGATCTTATACATTTAATGACCTATAATGGCTGATTATGCTTTGGAAGTTGTTTTGTCATTGTTGCAGCATCCCCTTCTCTAACTATGCAAATAGATGAATTTATCCAGGTCAGGCATATGTGGCTTATAGAAAAACTCCATTCAACTGCCTCAAAATATAACCACAACGTAAATTCGGGAACATGTGTATTGCTTTTAACTCTTCCATGATGGAGCTCATTTGCTTTTGTAACTGGATGTGAATGGGGCCAACAAGTCAGGGAACACTAGATACAACAGATAATGGAGTTGGCAATGGGTAAAGGTGACAGGGGGTGGTTGTTGGTTAGGAATGGTTAGACAGAGTAGAGTAGGTAGTCTTGTAACATGTGGGTTTTAGGGGATTGTTTCAATGTAGGAGCAAGTTTGTTAGCATGGGTAAGAAAATTCTAGAGCTGCAGCTAACGATTATTTTCATAATCGATTAGTTAGCCGATTATTAAGTTCGATTAATCGATTAATCGGATTTTAAAAAAAAGTCTCCAGTGATGGACTACTAGTTTGTAATTCCAGAGCATAAGGGCAATTCTTTAGGAAACTTACAGGTTTATTCACAAAACTGCCGAAGGCAGCCGAGTGAATAGCCGAGCCGAAGTGAACAGAGCAATCGACGTTCGGCTATTCACTCCGGCTCAGTATGGCTGATTTCAGCCGTACATCGGATGAAATCAGCCATACATCGGCTGCCTTCTGTAACGTCATGGCTGGCTCCTCCAAGTTGTTATTGTTTAATGACAGATCAGCGTCCCCAGGTCATTTGGGGACGCTGATCTGTCATAACAACTGGGCGGAGCAAGCCGTGAGATCACAGCTGCCTCCGCCCAGCTGTCATTTGCGGAGCGAACGGCCGACCTTTGGCAGGCCGTTCTCCACACTTTGGCTGTCACTGTCACAGTCGAGCCGAAGCATATGCCTTTGGCTTGGTTGAGCCCCTTGGCTGCCTTCGGCTGCTGTACGGGCTGTTGTGAATAGCCCATACAACAGCCCTTCGGGGAAAAAGTAGCCCCCTCCAGAAGGAAGGACAGTGTCAGTACCAATTCAGAGATGATTGGAGAATCTACAGCCGAGTGATACACAAATAAGATACATTGTTGTTCATAGTTAAGGTACTGAAATTTATTTTTAAACTTTAACGCCTGAGTTTATCTTGTAAAGATTCACATTTTTACAAATGCCCATTTATGATTGGCTCTTCTTTACAAAGTTGACAAGGTCTTGGGCAGTGAACACAGTAGTAGGAGTTGGGTGTTGGGATGAGCGGAGAATCAGAAGGTTGTACAATACTTTCTTGGCTATGTTCCGAGTGCAGTGAAAATGGTATAGCTTTGATTTATAGTTGAGGAAATCCCTGTTTATGTTAGATTTTCTCCACTTTCGTTCAGCAGTGTGCGTAGCTCTTCATTGTGATCGAATCTGAGTTGTGTGCCAAGGCATGGGCTTAGTAGTGTAAAGAAAGTGAATTTGGGAGGAGCAACCATGGTCAGAGCTGTACATTTGGAATCGGAGCTCATTAACAAATGATCAATACGAATCTCAAGTATTGTTGGTAGCCAAAAAATCCAAAACTTCAGCTCAGAATGAAAGTATGACCTTTTACAATGTATGCACAATTAAATCTACATAAGACTGAAAAAAAAACTTTTCTTTTTCAACATTCTTTTAAATGGTGATGGAAAGTAAAATGATTGCAGAGGTTAGAAAGTTTCGGTGAGGAGTGACAGGTGCCGGACGTATATTGAGCTGTTCAGAGCCATTACAGGGGACTTCAGCACCTGCGTTACTGTCTGACCTCTTCTACACTTTCCATGTGTAAGCCTTTCTCTCCTCTTCCCTCTCCAACACACTCACTTCCCTTCTCATTGCCCAGACTTTGCAGGACAACCTCCACTTCCTCTCCCACTGTATAGGACAATGCAGTCAATGAGATCACTGACAAGGGGGGAACATAAGTATATAAACAAGCTGTAGAGAAAATAGGAAGTTTGCAGAATGCCATCAGCATACCTAGCAATTTTCTGACGTAGGAAAGAGAAACACATTTTAAAACCAAAATTTTTCTCAGATGACACATTTAGGGTTGCCACCTTTTCTTCTAGCGAAACCCGAACACTCTAGCGACGCACAGACATTTTTTGGGGAGCATAAGTCGTAGCTTATTCATATGTACATAGCGCCGCCCATTCATATGTAAATATCACAGTTGAGACTGTTT